CGGGGGTCTGGGAAAACCCCGAGGGGCCGGCAGGCAACGGACACTCGTGGGGCGGTGACGCGCGCGCACGCCGGGCCCCCTCCCGCGTGAGCCTGACGCGGGGGCCTGCGCCCGCGCCCGGGACACGGTCACCAGGCCCCGGCCATGCACGGGGCGTCGGGGGCGGGGGAGGCCCGCGGGGCCGGGGGCCTGGAGGAGAGTCCGGCCAATGGGAATTTAAAAGGTTTTAAATTCACTCAAAACCCTTTCTTCCTCATCAGTTTTCATCAGTGTTTGTGTATTTCACGGGTGGCCCAAGACGACGCTCCTTCTTCCAGAGTGGCCCAGAGGCGCCCAAAGGCTGGGCACACGATGCCCCGCACTCTCCACCCCACGCCCCGCTGCCGGGGTCCCGGGGGAGCCAGCCCCGCCTGACAGCTGGACAAGCCCCCTCTGTCCGAGACGGGAGGCCTGCAAGCCTCCCAGCTGCCCTGGCCTTGCTGGGCGGCCTCCTTCCAGGCCCGCCTGCGCGACCCGCGCCCGCCCTGCCCCATCCCGACTCCCCTCCCCGCGCCGCGGCAGGTCGCCGGGGCGGCCGTGAGCATGGGCCGTAAATATCCGCGCGTCACTCGAGGACGCTAATAGAGGCTCCGTGGTTTCCGGCCGGGCCTGCCCTGGGCCCCTCCACGGCCACAAAGTGGGCGACGGGGACCGAAAATCACATTCATTACGTCTAGACGAGGCTCCGAGGCTTCGGTAATTCACGCTGTTGCAGTGAAGACTTCACATCTGAATTATTGATGTACTTCTCGAGAGCACTAATCTCTTTAATCACCTTTGCTCAATTAAGAAGAAAACCAGCCATCATTTTTAATAAAAGAATAAAACCGCTTGGTGTGTGCTGATCACTAGGGAGCGTTTCGGGGAAGACTCTACCCCAGCCCCACCCTGGGAGCCTGACTGGGCAGGGGGCGGGGGGCGGCGGGGGGGGGCTGAGGCCGCGGCCGCTCTGCATCTCTGCCCCCAGGCAGCCTCATTTGCAGGAAACACCCCAACACACTTTGTCCTTCGCTGACACGGGACTAAATGCGTTTCCGTTCTGACATTTACCAAAAGCTCTTCGGCATCAGCTGTCTTCCCCCCGACTCCCAGGGGCACAGCCGGCCGCGGCCTGACCCAGCCAGTCCCCGGGGATGACTGCCGGGACCCCGGCCTTTGGGGAGCGGTCTTGGGACACAGTCATCAAGCGGGAGCAGCGGCTGAAACTCTGGCCTCATAAGGCGAGTGAATCACCTGTGTCTCTGAAGCGCACGTCCGAGGCCGCCTCTCACTTTTACAGGAACGTGGTATCATCACGTGCCGTCACGGAAGGATGTAACACCAAGGGGGCCGACTGTGCCGCGCCCACCCTTTCGCCTCCCGAAAGCCGCATGGCGCCAGCATCTGCGCGCAGTGGGCCTTCGGGAAGTGGTGGCGCAGGGCACGCATTGCCTGTCACCACTCTGTAGCTACTGGAAATATGTTTTAAACATGTGTAGGTTTTGATATTCAGTTTAACAAAAATATCTGAATGTCCTAGTTACCAGACCTTGGAAGAAATCTGAAGAAAGCGTGCTCAGAAATACCGAGAAAACCCCACATGCTACTGGCGGGTACGGGTGGGACAGCCTCGGAAAGCAACGTGACAGGTTTCTGTCCATCCCTGCGAAAGATCTGGAGACAAATGTCTTCCCTGAGCACTGCTGACACAGAACGGCTAGAACGAGGCCTGCACGATCCTTCAGAAGCCGATGGGAAGACCGTGGGCCCCTGGCGCCCCAGGCAAGGGACACCGGGGGTCCTACGGAAACGCTGGCTCCCGGGAACCCCCGCCCGGTGGCCGGCACACTAGGTGGGTGTGGGGCCAGGAACGCGCATGTGTGGTAAGTTCCAGCGGAGGCCGCCAGCCCTGGTCTGAGGAACAGGCTCCGGATGCCTCCTGTGTGCCGTGGGCTGCTTCACAGCCGTGGGGAAGCCAGAGCCGCCCGTCCCGACGCGGAGCAGCTTGCTGCACGAGCAGGGCGGGGGCCGCCCGGGGCCAGGCAGGACCACGCCGGCCCCACTGCGGGGGCCCAGGGGCCTCGCGCCCGGACTCCGGGCCTGGGCTGCGGAGGGGGCCCGCTCTCCACGCGCACAGAGCATGTGCCACATGAGGTTCCAGCTGCTGTTGCTGCTGCTGCTGCTGCTGCAAAAAAGCAATTAAAGACCATTCAACCTGATTCACAAACCGGCGTCGCCTTCCCGCCGGGGAGCGTCCCCTTCAAAGGCCCTGCGGCGGCAAAGCCAGGGCCCTGGCTGCTGGGGGGGCAGCAGACACACACGCACACGGGGTGTGTCTCTCAGAGCAGCGCGCGCGGGGCTGACCCCGTGCCCTCGCGTCGCCTCACGGACACGGGGCGCGCAGCGTGGGGGCCGCGCACGCCGGGGGCCCTGCCCGCACGACAGCACCTGCCCTGGGCGGCGTCGGGTCTGGGGCTGTGCGGCCGCGCGGCACTTCTCCCGTGAGCGCGACAGCGGCGGGCCGGAGGCTTCGTGGCGGCCAACGGGCATTTTCCATGAAAAACACAAACTTTCCCCCTCCCCCCTGTGAGTTAGGCCACAGCCTTTTTGGTGGATGAACGTGGCATGTCCATTTCATGGAGCTGAGACTTTAAAAGGCTCCTTTTGCATTGAAATAGCAAATTTCTAAGGGGATCCTCAAAGGAAAACGAAATCTACTTCCACAAACGACAAATACAAAGCAAATAAAGTAATTCTGAAGACCAATAAATGCCAATCTTATAAAATTTTTTCCACAGGTATGCTACACTCTGTTAGTGGAGTTTATTTTAATATTATTTTACTATTAAAATAGCACATTTAATAAAGTTCTAAGAGGTGGTCAATATTGCCGGAGTTGATGGCTTATTTTATTATTGAAAGCTGACATTCTATAGAAACCTACGATACATCGGATCACACAGGCGACCCGGGTGGGGAAACCCGAAGCCGCCGTCGGTGTGGAGGGAAGAAGGTCGACGTGTCTTGGTTGCTCAGCCAAGCTCAGTGCCCTCCCACGGCTAACGGTTTTCAGAAAGTAACCTCCCAGGAGACACAATTCTTGAAGTCAGAGATGCCTGTGAGTCACAGCCCAGGATTCACGGGTGGACCGGCAGGGCCTGTGCTCACACTTCGCGGGCACCTGCCCCGCCCCCAACTCGGCCCCTCCCTGCCTCTCCCGAGTCAAACCGGGGGCCCCTCCGAGAAACGCCCCCCCCAAAAGCCCGCCACTTGGATTTAAATGTCAACTGTAGCGTCGGGGAAGTGCCACGGGCCATCCCTTTACCCTTTTCAAATAATTAAGCCCAAGAAGAAATATTCACGTTGCTTCCTTGTGTGTGCGCTACATGCACACTTGCTATTAAAAATAAGAGATCTTTTGCATTTAGCATTTACAAAAGCCTGAGTGTACCCAAACTCCATTGTACTTTTAATGCCAAGGCTGGTTTAAGAAAATACTTTGCGTGGCTCAGAAGGCAGATAATACATGACAACACACAAGTGAGAAAAATCTAAGCAATTAAAAACTTTAAAGGAGGGAAACTGTATTAACACAGCCAGGAACTGTTAGAAAGTCCTACTTACTTACATGCAGACCACAGATTTCACTACAACTTGTCTAACAATTTTGAAGGACGCTCACATTTGGTCAGATAAGTAATCTGCAACGTCCAGAATATGTTTTTTAGATTCTGCAGGCGGAACGCAACCATGGAGACCGAGCCCCCGCAGCGGACTCCTCCAGCCCCACGCGAGGGCTCCGCGGGCCTGAGCGCCGCCCCCGCCCCCGGGCGAGGTGCTGAGCTTTCTCTGGGTCGGCCCGTTAACTCAGCACCCACCTCACGGCGATTCGGACTCGGACGACAGGCGAAAGTAAACACCCCCCGCCCCCCGACGCGTGGGGGCCATAAAGGGAACCCGGGGAGAGGAGGGCGGGCGGGGGCGGCAGTGACGGGCGAGGTCCGGCCCCGCACCAGGCTGCTGGGTACCACACCCCCCTCATGTCTCATCAGCAATGCGGTTCCGAACGCAGCGCCGTCCGTGGGGCGAGGAGCCTGCGGTTACGATCAGAGAGAGAATCCGGGCGCATCCTCCGAGGCGGGCGCCGCGGGGACCCTCGGCCACCGCGGGCGGAGACGCGCACGTGCAGCGACGCGGCCCGTGCGCAGACGGGGGCGCTCTGTACCCAGAACAACGGCTGAGGCGCCGGCATGTGTTAGAGCACAAGGGAGTCTGCACTATGCTAAGGGAGCCTTAAAAAACACAAAGGAAGCTCCTGACCCGCCCACCGGAAGACCCCACACGGCGGCCCCCACTTACGCGGCGTCGAGCTTCGGCAAGTCCCCCCACGAGCAGACCCCTCGTTCCCCTGGACGGGCAGGGGGCCCTGGGGAGTGGCAGTGGGGGCTCATGGGGAGGCTTTCTTTTGGAGCCGATAAAAATGTTCTGAAACTGTGGTGAAGGTGAACTTCTACACTGAACCAAACACGGAGCTGAGGGCGTCCACGCTCACACATTCGCACGTCTGCGCACACGCAACCCCCTCGGTCAAACCATCTGCGGGAGCCACCTGGCCCGTGACTGAGTCAACCACGCTCCCGCAAAAACCTAACCCGGGACCCTGCCCTCGGTCTGGACTCACCGCGCCCCTGCTCCGGCGGGGCCACGCGGGCCCCCGGGGGCCACGGGAAAACTTACCAAAACCGCCTTCTCTGCGCGAGACACTTCGCGCGCCACCCCCTCTCCCTGCCGACCCAGCTGGGCAGCTGCCCCCGGACAGAGGCCCCGGCGGGCGTGGGCCGCGCGCCGCTGCCGCACCCGCGGAGGCGGCCCCCTCAGGCGGACGACAGGCGTCGGTGCCCAGCCCCACGCTGCGCGGCAGACGCGCCCCTCCCTGTCCCCACCGCCCCTCCCTGGGCTCGCGCGGGCGAGGCAGCACTTACAGGCGAACTGCAGCCTGGCTTCCCTGCTGACGATGGTGCCCCGGGCGTTGGTCGCGAAGCACTGGTAGCTGCCAGCGTCCCGGCCCCTGCGCGGGCGCAGGAGCAGCAGGCTCCCTCCGCTCAGCCTGTACCGGGGGTCCCCGCGCGGGTCGATGTCACTCCCGTTCAGCTGCCACCTGGAAGAAGCCGAGGACGTCCCCTTGGGATATGTTTCTTTGAATCAGCATATAAACCCTGCACCCCATCGCCTCTCTCGGGAGCCTCCGGTGACGAGCGCGTCATCCCAGTGTGTCCTAACTGAAGATCCGCCGCGACCCCCCCCCCCCAACCCCCCCCCCGCCCTGTCATCAGCCGCCAAAGGCGGACGTGGACTGGGAACCACCGCGGTGTGGCAGCTGGCGGTAAGGACTCCGCAGGTTTGCTGAGGAGGTGGGGGCGATTGAGTCCGCTGGCCGGGGAGGGGCAGGCCCGGCCACACAGCAAAGAGAAGCAGAAAGCTGAGGGGTCACCTCCCTGTCCGCAGGCGGGTCGCGCTGGCCGGGAACAGGGAAGCCCCTTGCCCAGGCGGACGGGCTCGTTTAGTACACTAACTGGGTTGGTGCTCAGCCAGCCCCGCCCACTTGTCTGGGCAAACGCCGGCCAGAGGCCCGCTCCGTGCTTCTGGGCAGCCTCGCCTCATGCAGTCTGCTGAACAGGACACCGAGTCCAAGACCCGATGCCACCTGCAGCGTCGGAAACGGACAAGGAACGAACCCCAGAGGCACCTTCATCAGCGGAAAGCGAAAAGGAAGGGAAAAGAAAACAGCTGGTGTCAAACAAGGGTTTTCCGACAGGACCAGCGGCAGTTGTCCACAGCAAGGCTCCTCGGCACGGCACGCGGGGCCGCGTTCACCACGGAAGCTCGCCACTCCCCACGGGGCCCCACCGCGCCCGCCCCGCGCCCCACGCTCCGCCCCGCGCCCCACGCTCTACCCCGCCACCTCCTAGGCCAACAGCTCCGCTGTTCTAACTAGGAAGACCTAATGCTGATCGTAAAGCCACCCTGCTGCCTGGCCCGCCCATTTAGCACATTACGATGGCCATCTTCGTTGCCCCTTGTAGTAATTTCGAGGAAACGGGAGACGCGAGGCCCATTTCCTGGACGAGGCGCTCGGCACAGCAGCCGGGCAGGCTGGCGGCCGTCCCACAGCGGGTGGCTGGCCGGACGGGAGCAGCGCCCCCTGAGCTCCAGCCCGAGTCCCGGCGCGGGCCGTCAGGAGGTGGCTCGTTGGCACAGGACTCTCACGTACCGAGGACATACGATGTGTCATGAAGACACACAGGCGGGACGTAAGCAGTGTCCCGTGGGGACAGGCAGACGTTAAGTGACATTAAACAGCTGTGGGAACGTGGGAACATGTATAAACATGAAAAAGTCTCGACAACTATGGTTAATAAAACTGCAAAATAAAATGTGCAGTTCAATACCATTTATGTAAAGCTTTAAAAACACATAAAGTCCCATCAGGGCTATTCTAGACATACATTTTAATGTGCAGAAATGATATACCTCAATTTGAGGTACTGTAAAGCTCTCACGGAGAGAAGGCAGCGTGTCCGGGGGCAAACGCTGGCGGGGTTCAGCTTCTGGGTTGTAAGCGGGTTCACCGCTATACTTGACTGTACGTCTGTGTCCTATTCTACATCTGAAATTGTGCGCAATGAAATTTTAATGATGGAGACTATAGGAAATGAATAAATTCATAAGTTTAGTCTCTGGTGCTCAACAAGTATTTTATCATTTGCTCCTTTTCAGAATCAAGAATTTCTTGATTTGTCTTCATTCATATACAAGTCTCCCAGGTCTAAACCAACACTTCTCCCAAGAAACCAGGTTAAAATTAAGTGAAAAAACTGGAGGCCCCAACTCTTTTCTTTTGTATTTAAAAAGAAAATGACAAAAAAAAAGCATCGGAAGAGCTGTAACCTCGTTCTCGGCCGTGGCAGAATCTGCCGTTGGTCTCGTTTCGCTCCGTGTGTAGAGTAGCTCTCTCAGGATCCTTCCCAAGGCAAGTCTGTATTTGCATGAATACTTTGGGTGGTTTTCTGCATTTTAACTTTAATTCTGCCCTTAGAGTTTTGGTGTCAAACCATAATAAGCATGAGTTAAACCTCTCTCGTCTTATTATTCCCTAAATCCTAGAACTAGAGACTGTGAAAAGGAAATGAAACACAGGAGAACTGTCGGTCCGTACTCTGCCCAAATATGCTGTTTGCTCGCCGCGCAGTGGGTTCTCGGCGCAGCGCCACCGCCACCGCCAGCATCTGGGAGTCCGCGGGACACACAGGACCTCGGGGTCTGTCCTAGGTCCACTGGGAGGAACCGGCGTCCTGAGAAGAGCACCAAGGGCTTCATGTTGTGCTAAGCTGGAGACGACCTGGTCAACCTCCCCGCCAAGGAGCAAGCACAGGAACCTCCAGGGGACATTGCGCAGCGAGAGCTCCCGCTCTTGACCTAGTCACGTTCAGCAACTGTAATTTAACCGCCCTCCCTTTCTCAAGAAAAACACTCAGCACCCGCATGCCCGGTTTCTAGTTTCTGAGGACGTGGTGAACGGCTCCCTGCCTTCAGGAAGCGTCGCGCTGGTGGATTTTTTCCCGTTTCCTGGTTCCTGCCCCGACCTCCATCTGGGCCCCAGTCCTGCCAGGGGACAGCCCAGTGCACCACCAGGGAACGCAGAGCCAAGTGCTCTGTGAACATGTGCAGACAACAGGCGCCAAGCTCTCTTCTGCCCCCCGAGCGCCTGTGGGTTCTACGCGAGCCCAGCCCCTGGAGCCCCGGCCCCCTCATGTGGAGCGTACGCGTCTCCACGGATGGTCTGCCTGCGCGTGCACCTGCTGGAGAAGCCAGCGGACGTGGGACGAGACTCCTGCTGGGCTTGACCTTCCAAGAGCTACCCCGCAGGCCACCGCGGGCAGACGGGCCGCAACGTAACCTGCTGGCGGCTGTCAGGCGCTGGGGAGCTTCATGCCTGCGGCTGGAAAAACACTCTCACCCCAAGTCAGGGAAGATGGAGTCGCTTTCAGTTTTGATGGAGTATTCTCATGACAGTGGCCACCTGTGTCTCTGTCACCTACAAAGCTCAGGTGGCTGGGGGACAACGTGTCAGCTCTGGAGTCGGAAGGTCTGCAGCCTGGCTCAGCGAGCCCGGCCGCTTCGCTGGAAAACCGGGCTTGTGTGTTTAGCCGCCGGAGGAGAGAGGCCCAGCGGCCGTGTGGGAAATGGAAGACACACTGGGAGCAGCACGGCCCCCTTCCTCTCCCGCCGCCGGGAAGACGCGGAGGCGGGGAGGGGTGTGGGCGAAGGCCGCCTCTCAGGTGCTGTCGCCGCAGATCTAAAAGCTGTCACCCCGAAGTTTTGACTGAGAGAAAAAGGACGAGATGGGTTCCATCCGCATCAAGCTCTCTCACTCCTTTCAGGCTGTCGTTACCATGGGGACATGGCCCCGTGGCGTCTCGCCACGAAAAGGGAGGAGGGACACGCTCCTAAATCCGTCCCCGCCACACCCAAGCACGAGGGCGTCTCTTGAGGCAAACTCCTCGGGGACCGTGTGCACCTGAGGCTCCTTGAAGAACGTCCCTTTTCCTTTAATGCAGCTCACAATGATTCCTCACCTTCCTGACACGCCTCCTCACCGACGGAACGCATCCCCGGGTGACATAAAACTTCCCAGTATCTTATTAAATATTGATTCTTCTCCTCTTGCTGGAAGTATACGAATTCAAAACAGTCATCAGTGTTCAAACTCTGAAATACATAAGAAATCTCTGGGCTTGGATTTTATCCTGAGAAAATACTGATGCAAAATATTCCTATTTCAGCCTGATCTGTAAATGGTTCGGACATTCTTACCTGCATCAGGAATATTCTGGAAACTGAAGGCATGGGCACACCCTTCTCCTTTCACGAGGTCTCTGCCCCATCAATCTGCTCATCGGGCTCAGCTGTGGCGGGAGGCGCGACCGGCCGTTCAGGGCCACTGAGCGCGGCACACAGCCGTGATGTGTGACCGAGGGGCACGTCCGGCACGTGGGCCGGGGAGCTTTCATGGGAAAACACTCTTTCAGTTTTGCGCCTCCACAGGCCTTGGTCAGAGCTCCCGGAGCCTGCGTGCAGAGAGCGGTCTTGCAGTTCCTAAGAAACTCGGCTGTCTTAGAATGCAATCTTTTAGAAATACGGAAATTGTAGAAAACGTCACGCCAGTAGCATTCCGTTCCAAAAGGCTTCACACGGCGACGGAAGCCTTCAAAGGGGCTGCCCCTGCCGGGCCGTCCCGCCGCGACCTCGGACGCCCACGCAGCCTTCGGCATCTGATGCTCGTTCTGCACGATCTACTTGCAGATGTACTTGCAGGGCCCTCAGGTGAGAACTGGCTTGTGAGTCCCAATCCACAAACCACTGCGTCTCAGTCAACGAGCCCCAGGCCCTGGAGCCGCTGAGTGGAGGTGATGCATGGATTTGTTTCTGGGCTGCCGGCCCGGGGGGCGGCTGGGCTGCCGGACTGAGACGGCCGCTCCCGTGCGAGGCGGCAGGGGTCTGATGGACCCACTTCTAAGTATCAGTTACTCATCTGCACAACCAGATGTTCAAGTACTGAGCTCACTGGCCCGGGGCTGGGCAGGCGCAGTAGTGGGGACAGGGAGCCCACCCACAGGAGGGCGCAGTCCGTGGGGAACCCCCCGCCGCCCACAACCTGAGATCAGTTCACATAAAACATGGAGCATGCTCTTGAACCAACAGGTTTTCAATCCTGAGTGTCAAGTGTGAGGAGCCTGACACAGGAGACATTTCGACAGGCAGGCGTCTCCCCTGGAAGAGCAAAACCACGTGCCGTGTCCAGCAGACAGCGAGCTGGGCAGGCCCGAGAGTCCGTACGGTTTTTTCCATGAAATAAAAGACACTTTTTTCACTTTCACCAATAACTTCATTGATTAGTGAATTTTGAGGATGTCGGCTGTCTCCCGCATGGTAGGACAGAGACTGTTCTCAGTTAACGTCTCCCTGTGATCGCTATCAACTTCAACCGATCTACGTGACCGTGGAGCATCGTCCAGCAAGAACCCTCCAGCGCAGAACTTTGCAAACCACGTCTGACACGTTCCGTCAGTCCCAGCACCTTCTCCACACACTGCACAC